CCATGGAGGCAATCTATCTCTTACGAAGATTGATGGAAAGATATAAAGATAGGAAAAATGATCTACACATGGTCTTTATAGATTTGAAAAAAGTGTATGATAGGTCCCAAGAGACATTCTTTGGAGGATTTTAAAGAAGTAAGGAGTACGAGTAGCATATATCCAAGCTATAAAGGATATGTATAATGGAGCAAAGACTGCCGTAAGAACTCATGAAGGACAAACTGAAAGCTTCCCCATAACTGTAGGGTTACATCAAGGCTCATCCTTAAGTCCTTATCTTTTTGCATTGGTAATGGATGAGTTAACGGGACATATTCAAGATGATATTCCTTGGTGTATGCTTTTTACAGACGATATAGTGTTGATAGATGAAACTCAGGAAGGGGTAAATGCGAAGCTTAACCTTTGGAGAGTAGTGTTGGAATCTAAAAGTCTTCGCCTAAGCTGATCAAAGACAGAATATATGGAGTGCAAGTTTAGTGCAAATGGAGGCCAAAATGAGTTAGGGGTGGGGATCGGAGATCAAGAAGTACGAAAGAGCAACTGTTTTCGCTACCTAGTATCTATCTTGTAAAAGAACGGAGAATTAGATGGAGACCTCAACCATAGAATACAAGCTGGATGGATGAAGTGGAAGAGTGCATCCGGCGTGTTGTGTGACCGTCGTATGCCACTGAAGCTCAAGGGAAAATTTTTATAGGACGGAAATAAGGCCGGCGATGCTGTATGGCACATAATATTGGGCGGTGAAGCATCAACACGTACATAAAATGGGTGTAGCGGAGATGAGGATGCTTCGTTGGATGTGTGGACACACGAGAAAGGATAAGATTAGGAATAAGGATATCTGAGGTAAAGTAGGAGTAGCCGAAATTGAAGGAAAGATGAGAGAAAATCAGTTACGGTGGTTTGGACATGTGCAAAGAAGGCCTACTGACGCTCCGGTTAGAAGATGCGACTACGGGACAGAGGTCCAGGCCTGAAGAGGTAGAGGAAGACTTAGGAAAACTTTGGAAGAGACTCTAAGAAAAGACTTAGAGTACTTGGATCTAACGGAGGACATGACACAGAACCGAGCGCAATGGTGTTCTAGGATTCATATAGCTGACCCCACTTAGTGGGAAAAGGCTTTGTTGTTGTTGTTGTTGTTGTTGTTGTTTTCTGTTGTATCTCGAATAAATTTGTCATTAACTGTTGCATCTGATGGTCAGTGAGGGGGTTTCTTGTTATTAAGGAACTCTATTTCGGTTAATTTTAAGAATACTAAAGTTCGGATATGTTTTTGGATGAAAGGTATGACCTTTCTTTTTTATATTGGAGGGGTGTTGCATAAAATTTGATACCTGCACGGCTGCACACAAGTCAATAACATGAAACATGGAGGGTGTGTAAATCCATCCGTCTCAGAGGTTTTGAGTTTCATATGTATAGTCAATTATGGTACGTTCAAAGTTTGTTATTGACCAAAAGAAAGAACTAAGTAATTGATTATTAATCAACTGATGATAAACTAACTTATTTTGTAAAATGTTGGTAATTCTAGTTTTGTAGACTGTAAGTTATGGAGATATGTGACCTTTTCTGAATTAATTTGAGGAATATTACAAGCGTACACTAGTGATGAGAATTAAATTGTTGGAAGATGATGGGAAGCCAAGGGTTATGGCTACTCTGAATAATAATAACAAAATCTAATCTTTGTAACTGGAAAACTTAATCTAATTATTTGTTTTGGGAATGTCATGGATAATTATATTCTAGTAACGAGGTACATGACTTCTTTGTGAAAGCTCATGTTTTGAGTTCAGTTGATCATTTTGTGTCTTGGAAAAGAACAGATCAAATAATGTAGAAAGTTTCAGTTTGATTGCTTAGTTCAGATTACTTTAAGAAATTTGGGTTTGAGCGGACATTTGTTTGTGGTAATTGTTATCCAGCTTTCTTGTTGAGATGCAATTGCGTTCTAGTCATGTGCAAAAGAAAAATGTACCTCACTAGCAAAATGCTTTTCGAAATTAAAATGAACATCCAGTGCTGAGTTGTTTTCTGCATTTTGCTTCGAGTGCAGAGAGCATGAAGTATATGGAAGTGTGGCTCTCTTCTCTGAGGAACAGCTGACACCGGATGAAATGGATACTAGCCTAGTTTGATGTAATTACTTACTAGTAGTACGAGACTGGCTAATATAACTTTGAGTAGCAGAGATGGAGTATTATAGAGGATTCTAGTGCCACTATTGCTGGAAGGTGGTTGTTTTCCTGCTGCCTTTGCCTTGGGATTGACTTGGAAGGAGGCTGCTGCTACCGTCTTTCTTGCAGTTCAAAATTATGGTAATAGATCTCTTTAAGGGAATTAGATCTCTCATAGATCAAAATGATATATATATATATATATATATATATATATATTATATTTACGGAGCCATGTTGCTTAGAATTTTAGGATTTTGGATCTTCAATTCTGTAATTGATTTATTAGGAGTTGTCTTGATTCCACCCCTCTCCCAATATCTTAAGTATTTATTCGTTGTTGACTTTTCTTTTATGGTGTGGCAGCATTGAAAGAAGAGGATTTAGTAATTGGATCTAGGTAGAGATGAAACCAGAACTGAAATACAAAAAGTGTATTCAGATGTGAAGTTGTTAAGGTGCTAATGTTTAATCATGTTAGTTTTATTATTTTTGTTCTTATTGGAACCATACAAGTTTCATCATGGAAAATGCAATATTGTTATACTGTCTACGCTAACTTAAACAAATATTTACTAGGTATGTGATTAAAATAAGCTACTCACTGTGACCATAAATAATATGCATACTTATATATTTCCTTAATTCAGGTGACCATGAGCTAAATGCATTATAATATCTCCAACCCAGAAGTTGCTTTTACTGATATGGCAGATCTGGAACTTGTAGGTACTAGTTTTAATTAACTCTTTTTAGGTGTAATTTTGGACTGATTGTGTTTTGAATTCGACTATATTTGTTTTGGCTTTTGATGAATATTGTCGTCTATCTTAGCTGAGTGAGTCTTTTACTCACTGACATCAAGCTAGAGATTATGTCAGTTGGTCTTCAATAGTTTTTAGCCATGGTCGTTGTTAATAGCATTAATTCCATTTGGTCAATTTCTATGGTTTGCTACAAAACTTACCCTAGTCTTTGTGTTTGAATACTGGAATCAAAATGAAGATGATAATATTTCAGCACCAAATCTGAACCTTGAGCAATTAACCATGTAACCTTATGCAGAGTCTTATGAGTCTGAACAATGTAATAATGCATAGTCGGTTGTTATGGAGGGTGGACTTATTTTTAATACTTGTGAACTTATTTTTGATGAGGAATATTTGTATACTTTCCGCATCTATTGTTGGTTGTTCTGGAGGGTGGAGTTGTTATATAAGAATCATCTTAAAGCAAGTGGTGGAAAGACCCTTGAAGCAAATAAGAGTCCTCCCACAAAGGTATTCCCTTCTTACTTTCTTTATCCCTTCATTTTCTTTGCTCTTGTAAAGTGTGGTTTTTCTTTATCTTTGCATTTGATATTCATGACTTCTGTGGGAGTCCATATACTGCATGTCATCTGATTAATTTGTTTATGGAGCAGCAAAGATTTTGATGAGGTGCAAGGCCTACTGGGGAAGATGCATCTGTCCAAAAATGTTTGCTTCCAAGTTTTTTTTTTTTTTGGTATTAGAGAGAAAATATGTAACACTACAATATATGTTTGTGAGATTCAGTAAGTGAAAATTGGTTTCATGGTTGTAGGCTTTCTTCATTTCATGAAAATTTTAAATTTTTGCATTTCCTCCATTTAGTTTCAATTTTTCAAATTTTGATTTTTTTTATTAGTTAATTCATGTTGGCACAATTACAATATAAGTGCCAACATGACTGGAAAAGCTTATTTGACAAAGTTGTTAGAATGGGGCACAAATGGGCCACTATTTGTGCTTGCCTCTGGCACAAACACCTATATTGTGCTCTTTTAGCAAAGAGCACGCTCATAGAGGGCACAAATACAAATTTGGTTGCTGCACTATTGATATTGATCACATATGTTAGTGTCCTTAGGCCTCAAAGGACACCAATAACTTTTTGTGTGCAGTGCCCATATTTTTTGTAGTGCGCTTTTAAAGCCAACGTTGCCCTTCTTTGTTTACCGTAGAAAATAAGAACACTAGGATAAGTGAAAGGAGCCATACCTAATGACAATGAAAATGGAGAATAAAAATATTGATTTGACTTGGAAGCGGAAAACATATGAGCATATTGCAACGAAATGCTTCATGTTGATGATGGATCGAAGTTCAGAGAAAATAGAAAATCTTGGAGAAATGATATTGGGAGTGGAATTGGCATATGAGGGAAAAACAAAAAATAAAAATCGAAATTCAGATATGAACATGGTTCAGATCATATAGCTACCATGGGATAATATTAGTTACCAAGAAGAAAAGAACTGAAGGGAAAAGAAAAAACTAAAGGGGGAAGAAGAGGCGTTATTCGTCTGCCTCCTCCCACACTAGAGCAGCTAGGTATTTTTCTTCGGTATTGCTTTGAGCCTTCAATTTGCAACTAATTTTTTCTTTTATAAAAAGATAGAGGTGAGGGTGTAGGTTAAGCCACAACATATGAACCAGCTATAATAATTCGATATCGAATTCGTCATTCATGGACTCAAATTTAAGACCTCCTAATTACAACTGGAGAGGAAAACCAATAGACACTGGTATTAGGTGCCTTGCAACCAATTTGCTAAGAAGAATGAGAATGGCACAATTTGCCTAAGAAGAATGACTGAAAGAGATATATCATATACACAATAATAGAACCAACCAACTTATCTTTCGTAGGGCGAGGAAAACGTATACGAAAATGCAGTAATAAATTATAGTTATAGCCAAAGAACTGGTAAATCTATGCAGAGTCATGGAGGCATGGACTTTCCTGACTTGCCCCAAATAATACCAACCCCAGCAATAATACCCCCTCCCTTCCACTAAACCTTGACAGAGATATGTCTAATTTCATTTCTTCTCTTCTAATTCACACAAGAAAACTGACACCCCACCTCACTCCCTCTATACCTCTCATCTTCTTTTCCAATCCTCTCAAGCTTCATGAATTTCCTCAATAATACACCCTCTTTAATGGCAGTCATCAAACACAGAAAGCTCTTCCCATCTGCACCAATTTCCACAAACCAAACTGAATGTCCTTACTTTTGCGGCCCCGATTGCACGTACGAATGTTACCCTTATGCCGATTATTATACACCACCACCACCACCAATTCCGGTTAACGATCAAAGCAACCAAAACATCCATATCTCACCTTATGTGGTGCTCTTTGTCTCTTTGCTAGCCAGTTTTTTTCTTCTTATTGGGTACTATCTTATTGTGGTAAAGTCTTGCACAAGTTGGTACAGTCACAGAAGTAATGGATCTTCGCCCTCTCAATCTAGCGGCACGGATCAAGAGTTACTTGCAGATCAAGTAGACCATCCGATCTGGTTCATCTCCACAATTGGTTTACAACAGTCGATCATAAATTCAATTTCAGTTTGTAAGTACAGGAAAGACGAGGGCTTGATCGAAGGTACCGAATGTTCGGTTTGTTTGACTGAGTTTCAAGAAGATGACACTATAAGGCTATTGCCAAAGTGCAATCATGCTTTTCACATTCCTTGTATAGACACTTGGTTGAGGTCTCACACGAATTGCCCGCTATGCCGCGCTAATATTGTGAGCGAGACTGTGATCAGTGCTTCCTCAGACACAAATGGAGAATCCCAGATGGAGAACGCTGAGAGTGAAGGTGAAATTGGTGCAAATAATCAAGTGGGATATCAAGAGGATTTCGAAAACAGAGCTGGGGTGGATGATGAAGGAGAAGACCACCAATTTGATCATGAAAATATACCAAAACGGGAAATAAATTCCAAAGGAAATTGGATTCTTGAAAGAAGGTCCATTTCAATTATTTCCTCATTGGCTCCAAAAAAGTTAGTCATCAAACTGCAGAATGCTGAGAAATTCCATTCGGACCTTGCTCGAAAGCGTCATCGTCCGATTAGGCAATTTCTACATATAAGCCCTGTTTTGATGAAAAGGTCTTTGAGACGTAAGTGGAGCAAAATTTCAGTTGTTCCTCTGTAAATTTTGTTTAATTGTATGAGATGTTTGTACTGTAATATAGAGATTTCTTATGTGCCTCTCAATAAGGTGAAGGTGCTTCAGTTCTTGTTTCTTGACATGGAAAGTGACAATTTATTTGAAATTCTGATTTTTGAAAAAAGGAGATTGGATCTATTTTATACAGCATAATAACATCAAATACAGAATCCAGTTGTTGTCTGCAGAATTAAGGCAATGTGCCATTTTAGTCCTTGAATAATTACCTTAGAAAAAATTAGTTCCTAAACTTTTTTTGTTTTTGGTAAAATAAGTTCTTAAATTCATTAAAAACTGCTAATTTCATCTCTACTATTATATTCAAAATTATTCTATCCAAATTTTTATCAAATGTCATGTAACTCGCATGTGATACACAAAACTTGGCAAAAAAATCGAATATAATATTAGGCATGTAATTGGCATATTTTAATTCGTTTAAGGATTGATTTTCTAAAAAATAGTTTAGCGACTTAATTTTCACTCAAATAATAATTTAAGAACTAAATCCGTACTTCACCTTCAAAATATTGGTACATGCATGCAGACTAATGCTATATTTATGTGATTCATCTCTATAATATTAAATATGACACGATTACAACAACAAAGTCTTAGCCCACTAAGTCGGGTCGACAGTATGAATTGTAGAACGTTATTGCGCTCGGTTCTGCGTCAAGTCTTTCATTAGCTCTAAGTACTCTATGTCTTTTTTTTAGAGTCTCTCCAAGTCTTCCTAGATCTTACTCTGCCCTTTTTGTCCTGAACCTCTGTCTTATAATCGCATCTTCTAATCGGAGCCTCCATAGATCTTCAGTTTACATGTACAAACCACCTTAACTAATTCTCTCATTTCATCTTTGATTGCGGCCACTCATACTTTTGTGGCATCCGTTGGTTGCACAATACATCCGATGCACTCTTCCACTTCATTCATCCATCTTGTATTCTATGGTTGAGATCTTCATCCAATTCTCCGTTCTTTTACAAGATAGATCCAAGATAACGAAAGTGCTCAATCTTTGGTACTTCCTCATCTCTAATCCTCACCCCTATCTCATTTGGACCCTCATTCCCACTGAACATTCTCTATATACTCTGTCTTTGACCAAATTAGGTGAAGACTTTTGCATTCCAAAATTTTGGCCAAAGTTTAAGATGAATTTTATTGATGCTTAGAGTAATATTTTTCATTTGCAAATATTTACCATGTCATTGTTCTCATATATTTTGGCTTTGCAGATATTGTTCCGGTATCAAAAGGACACGGTAAGAGAAAATCTAAATCTATGTTAAAAAAAAGTTAAGACTTCAAACTTTGGTCTGTTTGGTTTGGTGTGGAATTGGAGAATAATTGCAAAATAAAGACCAAGATGGGAAGAAAACGAGTTTCTGGCAGAATGCAACTTGGGTAAGTCATCCCAAGTTAACCAAAGTCCATCCATTAATCATTTATTTATATCGTTTTGATGTGGATCGAAACCTACATCAAAAGGAAAACTGTAGAATGTAATCACAGTACCTATTTTATACTTGGTTTTTTCAAAAGTACTACATAAAAACCATCTTTACTGCAACCAAAACGTAAACATTGAGCCAATTTCCACTTCAAGTTAGCAACTTGTGCACTAATTTTTGCATTTTAATATTTTAATTTTTTTCAAATGCCACGTGTTAATTTTTACACACAAAAGAAATTATAATTTTAAATACATATTTGTTTTTGGTGTAAAAAAACATGTGCCACTTGTTAAAGTGAGAAATTCCAAATATAAAGTGTGGGGTGATTTAAGTATGTTGGTGTGAAACCCAGTCCCAAATTATGTGTAATTTCATATTAACGGAATTATAAAATTACCATTATGCCCCTTATCTTCTCACCCTACCCGGATTCCTCCCTTTCACTTTTGGGATATTTTGCATATCTTTTTATTATTTTAACACACACTTTCTCTCTTCCTTGCATGCCACGTGGCACACCCATCTCATTTTTACCTTTCTCTCTCTCTCTTTCCTCCCCCGAGTTCACTTTCTCTCTCTTAGCTCACCCACTCTCTCTCTCTCTTGCACCAACCTCTCTTCCTCTCCTCGATCTACACACACACCACACATACCAAAAACCGAGATAACAACGGTGGAGACGGCACCACCACGCCCACCATGTTGGGTCCCTCTCTCTCCCTCCTCCTCTATGAAGCCCAGGACACCTAACTAACTTCTCTGGCAAGCCCCGTGGCTTGCGAGACAAACTCCGGCCAACTCCAGCCACTTCACGGCGTGACATAGGTATGAAACTCTTCCACTCGTCATGCACTTCAATTTGATAGCTAGATTGCACCCTAGGTTGAGTAACGAAGTCGATCGGAGCTCGGGAAGCTCCGATATTCTCCCTTGTCGAAACCGGGTCAAACTTGACCCAAGATGCTAAGACTTAGATCGAAACCCAACCTAAACCCAAAGCATCAGGCTGGGCTACCAGGCCCAAGCCCAAGACCCTAGGCCTAAGCCCAAAACCCCAGGCTCGGGCCCAGGACCCCAAGCCCAAGCCCAAACCCAGTAGGAGCCCAGAACCCAGGTCGCGTGTGAGTGGCGCGTGGGCCTGCATGTGGGCATGCGTGAAAAGTTGCCGGTGCCGGCAAGTGGAGCACACTCGCCTACGTCCAACTGAAGCTAGTGACTTTTCTGGTGAACTTTCCGGCGACTCATCTCAGTGCGTGGGGGTAGGTCCCCCCTTATGTTTTTTGATGTCCTGAATACGTTTATGACATCCGTTTTTTGAAATTCAATCATTATGATAGAGTTTTATTAATTATACCCTTTATGTGCTTAGATGCGTTTATTAGCAGCAATTCCGTCCTTTCTTTTTCGCACGGCATTTCGATAAAGGAGTATCTGTGAGTGGACCCCTTCTAAAATGCATACATGAAAAGCATGATTTAATGGTTACGTTTTATGAAACGTTTTTTGAGTAAATTAGATTTTACTTATTATGAGATATCATGTTTTACTGAGAATATTTTGGAATACCATGCTTTATAGATTTTCATGTTCTTTGTAGTATATATGATGGATGACTATATACTGTGAAGATGTTCGGAGATATGATGTTTGAGTTACTGAGCTCCGTTGAGATATATGTACTTATGTTGAAAAAATTATATTCAATGTTTTTATGCTTATCTAGTAGTCACTGTTTTGTCTACGTGCGACGATACTTATATTGGCTTTGGTCAGGTGATGTAGTGGCCTACGGGTCGGAAGATATTTATTTTGGCCAACGGGTTGGGTGATGTAGTGGCCTACGGGTCGGAAGATATTCATATATTTGGCCTACGGGTCGGGTGATGTAGTGGCTTTGGTCGATTATGATACCACTATTTAGCACATTATATACGACATATATTTTATGAAAGGTTTTATCGCAAGCTAGGATTTTCGGAAAACCTATTACATATTATACTACTGAGTTTTCATAAACTTTGGGGGTTAGAACGTTGTTGAATAATTATGTTAGTACTACCTATATATCAACTTGGTCGCCCCCTCAGGACATAGGAACAAGGCATACAATCCGAGCTACGAGGTATTCCCCTACCAGTGACATCGCGTTATCCTTTCTGCTTTTGACATCACTTGTAATAGCACTTTCTGTTACACCTTCTGTTTGCATTCTGAATTAGATGTTTGCTCTGAACATGTCATGCGAAATTTATTGACGGCTTATTTTATTATTATGTAATAGCACTTTCTGTTACACCTTATTTTATTGACGGCTGACTATTATTATTATGTAGTTCGAGCAAAATTTATATGCATGTTTCACATGTTCTCGACATATGCATTCATTAAATGGCTTGCATCACCCTCGAGCGTCGGTCAGCACGTGGACATCCCGCTGTCCTCCAGACATCGAGATCAGGTTGGCGTATTTAACAATTGTGGGGTGCCAATAAAATAATCTTTTTTTATGGTGAATTATCTTATAAATTTAGTGAATTATTAATTTAGCACACTATCTCTAAGTTGAGACAATGCCCAAAATATTATTGATCGAAATTATATCGAGTATAAAATTATCGAGGTTCTATTATATTCGGGATGTATTATTAGAAGAAAGTAATTCTTCTTTCAATAACCATGACAAGTGGCCTAGTGGAAAAGTGTAAACATCAGCTCCCTAAACAAAAAAAGGGAGGTCCTAAGTTCGATATTTTGTATGCTGTGAATCTACTTGATCTTGGCCATAGGTAAGGTACAATTCCAACTAGCCTCCTCTAAGCCGATAAGATAAATAATCGCGGTTTGCCACCAATTACTTCTTTTTTTTTTTTTATAAAAGAAGATGATCAATTATACAACTACCGTTCTCAACAAAAAAAAGGACATGTGTCTGTGCGTGTTACTATTTTTTTCAGGTAAGTTCCAAAGGCTGCTAAAATAATATTTGTAAAACTAATAGCTTGTTATCTTTTCTTAGCCGCCGTCATTCCGCTTCATAGTCATTATAAGGCCATTTCCAACCGAATGAGGGCCAGAGGGCTCCCTTTAGCCATATAGCCCTCCAAGAAATTATATTTTAATGAACAGTTGCATGCCATATTTCAACCATCTCCACCGAGGGGGTCAAAGGGTCATAGGCCAAATATAGCCCTATGACAAAAAAATCATCTCCAACCAAGGGGGCCAAAGGGCCATAGGCCAAACAACATTTATTATTTTAATTGAATTAGTATGGTTACTTAAATTAAACTATCTTATTAAAATAAAGTTTTCGGACATATTAAAAACTACAACAACTTCAATTTAAAGATTCAACAACTTCAATTTAAAGATTCAACTACTTCATTTTAAAAACTATAACTTCAATTTAAAGACTACAACTTCAATTTAAAGACTACAACAACTTCAATTTAAAAACTACTACTTAAATATTAAAGACAACAAATTTTTTTTGTCTTTAAAAAAAAAATTCAAATGCAACGGTAACATGGCGTCGGCTAGCCGTTGCTAGCTGGGGTCATGCTGACGCCAGGTAGCTCTTGCAATTCAAACTTTGGGCCGCCCCAGGACTGGCTGGCTAGCTGGAATAGGCCATTAGGTTGGCCTAATTTCATATTTTTGGCCCGGTAGGGCCCACAAACCCTTTGGCCTAACTTTCAGTTGGAGACGATTTTCATGTCATTTCGAGTTATTTTTAACCCTATAGCAATTGGCCAGGTCGGTTGGAGATGGCCTAATATGCAATAATCTTTAATATAAATTGCAATAATTTCATCCACGAAACTTCTTCATTCTTTTTTATTCGTAAATTAAGCTTCTTCCTCTTTGCTTTAGATTATTAACTTGTTAGAAACCATAGCCTTTTCCAATTGAGAATTTCGTCGTGAACCCTTCAACACGCCAAAATGCTCTGTCCTAAATTCTAGTTCACGAAACTTCTTTCTTGCTCACAAGTCAACATTCTAAAGCTACCAAGCGCACTATCAAAAGCACTCTAGCTAGTAGTAGCAGTCGTAAGATGATTTAAAAACAAGCAAAATAAGATAGGTCTCAGATGCAGTACTTGCATCTGGGAATGTTAGGATTTCTTGTACATGAAAAAAAAACATATGTACTATTTCCCAATTTTTTGAGGAATCTTGACAAAACTAGTGAATATTAATTCAACTTGATCAATAAACAACACAAAAAATAAAACGTGACGGTCTTAACCTCGCTCAATAATATCCTTTAAAGGAGCATGGTCATAGTTAGAATTGAGGCCAGCTCATATCAAACAGAATATTATCATCGACAGATAAAGCCCGCTAGCTAGCCAGTCGATTTTTAACCCCAACACATCGTCTCCAATCTGTAAAATGTTTGTTACGCTCTTCTTTTCTTTACCAGAAAAAGGTTGCCTTAAAAAAAAAAAAAAGTAGTTAGCTTCCACTTTTGGGATTAATTACATTTTTCATATACACCAAAGTTTTCTTTCCTATGCAACTTGTCCCGACAACATTAAAATGCTGCAAACCAAAGTGCATGATGTTCTGTAATTCTCATTACATTGAGCTTACTTGCTGGGGAAAAAAAATTCGCATACCACTAAATTAAGAACTACTTGATTTGTTATATATAGGGCTGGAATTTTTTTCCAAAAATCCCAAACCATGCAAAAAAAATCCCGATCTCATACCGAAAAATTTCCAAACCGATAATACGAAATTTCAGGACTCTATACCGAAGTGATACCAGAAAATTTCGAGATAAGATTCGTTCTGAGCTATGCATTGGTTCGGGAATCCCAACCGAACCCATTATTTATTTATTTTTTTAATTATTAGTTAGGTTTAATTTTATTAGAAAGCTATTTCCAGGAGAATACTGTTACAGTATCGAATCTTCATTCATGTGTTTATTCCACAACTTACCCCATACTCTCAGATGGCAACAGTTTTCAAAACGACTGTCATAGTTATCCTGTAACAAGTGTTGAGTTGAATCACAACCCTTCCACTCCAATCCCCCCTCAACCTTGGATTGAAATGCAAAAGTCTCGGTGGCTCCTCACCCTCCACAGTCTTCAACCCCAGCAACTCCACCTTAAACTGCGAAACCATCGCCGACTCACCATCTCTCATCAGGGCAATCTTGGGTTGAAACTCCGCCCTCAGCCTCCCCACCAGCCTTATGTGCGAACCCAATGTCAGCCCACATGGCAGCACTATCACCCTCCCCTGTGCCGAAAACTCCGACCCAGATACCAAATCGAATGCTTGCACGTCTCAGATTGGTTCTCCACCTTTTCAGCATCAATATGCACCGACTTCAAAAATTTGGAATACCGAAATTTTGGTTCAGAATTAGTCTTCAAATTTCCGTCTCGAAAATTTTCTTTGCAATTAAAGATCCTTTTTCAATTTAGGATCTCATACCGAACCACCCTAGTTATATATTCTTCCCTTCACAACGTTTTTTTTCTCACATGTTTATGAAGCTCACTAATATAGTTGAACTCATATGCATGTCGTGAAACGAGTTTATACATAATGCATATGTAAGTTAATCTCAATTAATAGAAAATTAGGGTTAGATCGATGGGTACATAGGTTTTTTTTTTTTTTTTGTCGGGATGGGTATACAGTTTAAGAAGTACAAATATTCGATTGTACAGTGGGGACCCTACCCAAAAGTTCGACTCCTTTCGGTCATTCCGTAACCCAAAATGTTCGACTCCCAAAGAAACGAATATTAATTCCAGCAGATTTATGTCAAATTATAGTAATTTAATTGACGATAGAATTATAATTTGCATCTGGGACACTACTTTATCTTACAAATTAAGCAATGATAGAGAAAGATGTTACTTAATATATCTTATCTGTCTGTTTTGTTGGTTTTAGAGGTATTGGAAAGATGCTGGTGCAGTGATTATTTCAATCATTGTGGCTCACTGTAGACAATTAGATTAGTCCTTTCTCTCAATAAGCAAACATACACCATACAATATAATGCAAAAGAGAACGAAGAAAATTTAATCCCACTCAAAGTAAGGATTAAACTTTCAGCTAAAGGCAGCTTCTTGAATTGTGCGGAGCATTTGATTAACAGCTGCTGCTATTTCATCCACTGTATTTAACGGGCAGCCTTCTTCAATCTGTCCCAATTCACAAATAAACAGAAATTAATTATTTATTCTAAAATTAAAAAAAAATATATATATACTGAGTTTAGTAAAAGAAAAAAAAATGATGATCTGTTCTTTTTTAGACATTTTTTTTAGTGAATGAACTTGTAGGATTCACATCGGACCCACCAGATCGATGCATACGCAGTGCAAAACCAAATGACAAAAACGTAATTTTCTCTTATTAATTTCTAGACAAACTTTTTAATTAGTACATGAATTTGTAGCATTCCCATCATCATATTCACATACGCAGTGCAAAACCAAATGACAAAAATGGGGTGAGGAAAATAATAAATAATATAATAAGTGGGTGTAATTGATTAGCTGTTAAAGTTAATCTTCTTTTGTCCAATTTAAAGACTCAGATGAAAATCCAACGTTATTGAAAGCCTAGTGCTCCCATCATTTCCTTGTTTACTGTACTCCTTTCACTGTTTTTCAACACAAACAGCCTGCAATTATAGTTTTTGAGGGAGAGTCTCGGTGTCTCGGTTAGTTAACGATAAAGTAGTCATAGTCACTGACATTTAAATTTGATATCAAAAATTGAAATTAAAACAGTAAAAGTACATTCGTTTATTCCCTTATCACCTGGTGACTAGGTTAATTAATTAGCATTTCTCTTAATATTGGCGGTGACAGTAGTAACATAAAATTTGTTGATATGATTTTTTTTTTCTGGTCAAATATATTGATGTTTTCTTGATAGGACATTAATTATGAAAAGGTAATGCAATCATTTGAAAAGACTTGGCTGTAAAACAGTAAACAAATTACCTTAACGCTAACCGAGTAGAGGACCATTTCATCAGCTGTGGTGACATTAAGGTGAAGAACACTGAGCCTAAGGCTTTGAAATCCAGCCACCATCTTCAATAGCTGTCTAGGCCTTTTCTTGGACAGTATCTTAAGGTTGGCATGGTTGTCCACCATGGTCACTTCTATGTCTGCTGCTGCCCACTGGTTGTTGTTACACTGAGTCGTATTCGACTCATTTGCTTGGACCCCAGCTGAGTTGTTATTCTGTGTTGCACGAGTTGAAAATTGTGGGAAGGTGAAGAAGTCAGCCAAAGGCTGTTGCTTGCTCCTCTTGTTGCTGTTCATGGACTGAAAAAGCTGCTCTAGCTCCTTCACAAAGTTTATGGCACCCCCAACAATTGATGCTTGGTCCCCCTGTAACAAATATTTATAACAAGATTAATTTGGTCCAATCCCAAAAAAAAATTCAGTTTAAAAGAACATATGGGTAGAAATCCATGTGAGTTTTTTGAACGATAAGGGTTAATCCCAAAAACATTTCAATCTAAACAAAATGGAGATGCAAGGGACTTCTAGTTGTACTGCCTCCCTTAATAGTGGTTAAGGCAGTTTACCCTCACATTCGAGGTTCTGTGTTCGTGTACCTCCCTCCTGTAATATGACTTTTGTGAAAGAAAAACAAAAATAAAAACATATGTAGCTCGATGAATTTTTTTGGCCAACCTAGGAACCCAATTTTTTATTTTTGTGATCAAAATGTAAAACTGACCCTTGGAGCATAAGATTGTGGCATCAATGATCTGAGGACAGCAAGGTACTCATTCATTTGTTTGCGCCTGTTGCGCTCCACAACAATGTGCGTCATCCTCTGGTTCTCAATTTCCTCCTTGTTCTTGCTGCTCTTGGTACGACGCCGTTTGCGCCGACTTGTTGTTGCTAGTTGCGGCGGTGCTTCCATGGCAGAGAGGTGTTGTCCTGATGGGCAAGATTGATCAACTGTGCAGGCCTCAGGTGAGGAGTTAGGATCCCAATCTTTCACATTTTGCAAAAGTGAAGGAGATGATGAACAGTAGTCCCAATATTCATTGTTGCCTTGCTGGTCTTGTGAGATGAAGTCACTGCCCCAAGAACCACCCCCATTAAAAGAGTAGAAGTCTTTGCAACCAAAGCTAAATGGGTACTCTTGTGGGTAAACCACAGCTTCTAATGTCATGCTTTAATCACTCTAATCACTTTTTAACTACTGAAAAATCTGTTTAATTCTCCAGTGAAGATTTGTCAAAGAGGATTCTACAGTAGTGAGTGACAGTGTACGAGGGGCTTTTGAGTGGTTCAGAAGGGAAAAGGAAGTTAGAAGGGAGAGGAGGTTTTTTCTTTCCACTAATAGAGAACCCAAATCAAAGAAATTTTTATTAGGGTTGAAGCTAGCTAAGCCAAAGCACTACACCCAAAAGACCAAACAAACTCGCCCTTTTATCATCTCTAATAAGAAACTGGTTCCTTTTTAAAGGAGCTTAGCCAAGTAAACAAAACGCTACATTGTGTTGCACGTGAGATTTCAGGTAGACCAGTCTCCATTAGAGGTTAGAGAGAGATTCTCTTTTGCTCTCTCACAACTTACATGAAATATTTGTACTGTCACTGTGACGTCACGGTCTAATAATGCACTCATACGAAAAACATCTTACACACGACAACAAACAATTTGATTATACACCAATATTATATTGGTTGGACTGATTTATTACAACATGTTATTTGTACTTGAACTACTGATTGCATTATTGATTACATCTTGTACAATGAATTTGCTTGCATAAATAATGCTACAATCAATCCTCTACACAAGCATGCGAGTAGCATGCATCTATCGTTAGGAAACACTCAAAGGCTCACTTGTGTAGATATAATCTTACTCTTTAAATCTAATCCTTATGAGTATTATGAGTAGTACAAGTAAAAATTAGTATAGTAGTACAAGTAAAAATTAGTATATTCAATCGACAAACTCTTAAACAACAATTTGGTACTACAATCTAGTACTATTTTTCTACACTTAAACGCGAGTTATGAATCTCACTGTTTAAATCTCATTCTTATGAGTATTATGAGTAATACAAGTGAAAATTAGTACATTCAATAGACAAACTCTCAAACAATCATTAGTTCCTTAGTCTAATGTTTCTTCACTACACTTATAAATGAAAAGTCTAAATTTTAAATTTTGTAAATGATAAATACGAATATACGATATAATTTATTCTTTCACCTATTAAGCACCTCTAATGTATTATTAAATTAATTATTAAAACTCAATGTAGATAATCCAAGAGCGGGCGCCTTTGGAGAAGACATTTTGTATGTGCGAACCCAAAAGCATATCCCATGTCATGAATAGAACGCCATATTAACCGTGAGGACAGCAATCTCCCTATTCAACTCAAATTTGCATGCATTGAAAGGGGATAGTTTAGTCTTTTACCCAGCTAATACTGTACTTTTTTCATAATTTTCTGAACAGAAGATGTGACCATGGTTTCATTAGGCAATAATTTGGTCGGACACTTGGACATAGAAAAAGAAGAAGATGACGAAAAGCTGGTGATGTCCCAGAGATTCTGATGAAGATCTATAAACAGAGAGAGAGAGAGAGAGAGAGAGAGAGAAGGCGATAAAAACAATACACAACAGCTTGGTTCAGGTGTCGGACATGCTCAGAGGAATCCATGTGACCTCACTAACAGCCACTCTGTAATCATCTCCGATGCGGACTTAAAACGTTTCCGTCACTCTTTCCCAAGATCCCACTGCACCATTTACTGTTCTTGTGTTTTTCTTTGTTTGGCTCTCAATTTATTGTTAACTTTGTTTCATGTAACAATATTGAGCGGGAGAGTGTCGAACATTAAAAATCTCAGATGAACAAATTAATAAACTATTATAATTACTTGAATGATAAGTTCACGTGATTTTACATACAACCGCATTTACTACAACGGTGTTAGTTTGATTCACATTTTTGCATTGAGAATCGAACAAGAGATTTAGGTAATTTTACTAATAATTTCTTTAATAATTAATTAATCGCATTTCAACAAGACATTCTCTAGGGTTTTCGGTGTTTACAGGGTTTTGGCTCCATAGAATTTTGCTAGCACCGCCATTGTACTATTTTGATTCTTTTTCCGTTTTTAATATCGTTGTTCATTGAATAATCTGTTGATCAATTATTCCACTGTTTTCCTTCGATCTACTTAAAAATTGAAAAAAATCCATAACCAATTCATTCCTTTGAACAGATCACGAATTGTTGTAGCTAATAAGATTCGACGACTAATTAGGTCTTAAATAAAACGCAACTTGGTTGGTGTCATTTTGTTTTTTGTAAATTTTGTGTCGTCTTCCTTAATTAAAATGTTTTTAAAGAGGAATACCTAGCTATTTTAGAGTATTTTTTTATTTCATATCTACTAAATTATGAGTAAAGCAAGGATTGAAACCAACTTAGTGGATCATCAAGGATCATCCCTTAAAAAGTAAACCAAATTGAAAACAAATTAGCTATTTGATCAATTTTTTAAGGATTCAGTGTTTCAATAGAACCTTAATTTTGTTTACTTAATTATTTAAGAGAACTGTTATTAACACTTCAAAAATCTCATTCAACACATTTATAATTATAGAAAGTTTGCAGTGACAAATGAGATTTTTGAAGTGCTAACAACAATTCCCTTATTTAATTACAATTAGATAACTGGCTTTTTTTAATTTTTTTGTTTATTTTTAAAATGAATTTGATATGACACTACTACATTAAACAATTTTCGCAACGAACAAAAGTTCATTATGTAAAGACAACTCGCATTGCTTAAATATTGGCACGATGAATTCTTCGTTGCAAAGACATTGTCACACAAAGGTCGTGAAAACTGTGTTTGTGCGATGAAGACAAGTTATAAATCGCGCAAGTTCATCGCCTAAAATATAAGAGAACGAAGTGTGTCATGCATAACTAAAAGGTTTTCGTCGCGTCAATGGCGGAGCTAGGAAATTTTCACCGGGTGGGCCAACTTAAACATTCAAATCTTTATAAACAAAGACACTTGATACTGTATTTTTCACAGTATCCTCTAGCTTAAGAAAAATTTCACAAGGTGAGCCAAGAATTTTAATTATTAAACAAATAAGTGTTAAAATTCAAACAAATCCAAACTTGTACATGTAAAAGAAGCGATGAGAAAAATGACGAGACAAAAAGGGATGGTTTGTAAACTGTATTATATAATTTTATATGGTTAAACCAAGAAAATTAGGATTAGTGACTAAATATATGATGGGCTACATTCAAAAATCAATAAAAATTACATGTAAAATTTTAATTTTTTACGGAAAGCTACCTGGGCTATATAGCCCAAGGTAGCCCTTAACATGGCTACGCCATTGGTCGCGTTGAGTTTGTCGTGATGACATGTAGTCGTTAAGTAAGCCTATGCACGACGAAAATATTCGCCGTGTAAACTTTTATGCAATACGAAATTTGTCCCAAACTATATGTTTTTCGAGTAATATTAATATTATTTAATTAAACAATTTTGTCATTTACAATTTTGCGCGACGAACGGCTTCCTTGCTTTTAATCTTACGCGACAAAAGTCATGGTCGCGCAAAGGTTTCTTTTTAATTTTTTCCTTTACTTTTATGTTTTTATTAAACTACGTATTTTAATATTTTTTTTATAATTAATATTGTCACATCCTGGCCCGGGCCCCTACCACATCATGGACTCGACTCCACCGTAGCACGATATTGTCCGTTTTGGGCCCCGACCATGCCCTTACAGTTTTGTTTATGGGAACTCACGCGAGCAGAACTTCCTAGTGGGTCACCCATCATGAGAATGTTCTCGCCCGAACTTGCTTAACTTCGGAGTTTTGATGGACGTGTCGCCATCACAGCGCGACATGTGTCGACATCAAAAGCCAATCATAGCACGACACGTGTCAACATCAGAAGCCAATCACAACACAACACGTGTCAATGTCAGAATGAAACTAGAAACTCTCTTCTATAAATAGAGATCATTCTCTCACAATATTTCCTAATATCATTTGTACTAAATCATTCACTAGTACTCACTAAAGGAGAGCTTGAACCTATCTACTTATGTAAACCCTTCACAATTAATGAGAACTCCTTTACTCCGTGGACATAGCCAATCTGGGTGAACCACGTACATCTTGTGTTTGCTTCCCTGTCCCTATCCATTTACATACTTATCCACACTAGTGACCGAAGCAATCTAGCGAAGGTCACAAACTTAACACTTTTTGTTGTACCAAAGTCTTCGTTGATTTTGTGGATCAACATTTGGCGCCGTTTGTGGGAACGACACTTATTCTCACTCTCTTCAACTTTATTAAGTTGGTTTCCACCATTTGTACACTCTCTTTTGACCATGCATCCTTCTTCAACATGAGGAGTGAAGGAAGCCACAGCACGCAAAATGACACCCATCTTGCACCTAGTGCGAAGCAACGAAAGAAGGAAGGAAAAAGGGTTTCTCTTCAAGCTAAAGTCGATAAGTTAGAAGCTCAAAACAATAAGATAGCAATGAAGCGTGAGGTCCTCCAAGAGCAGTATGAAAAGCTCTTTGAGACGTTCCACGAAACTATGCGTACTCAAACATGCGAGCTTGTTGCCTCTGTGGATATCAACCATTATCTGGGTGCCCCCTAACACGGAGGGTCACCTTCTTTCGACACGAGTATCCCTGATGAGGAGCGAGCTAATCATCAAAACATTGATCAACATAAGACTTCTCTCAACCTAGCTGCTTCGACTCGAAGCAGGAGAAGTGGAGGAAGAAACCTCATTGCAGAAGAGTTGGAAGGATCGAAAGCCCTTTATCGTGACTGCCGAGACTTCCTAAAGCAACGTCGAGAGAATCCTCTCCACATATGCTCGAAGATCAATGACTCAAAGGTTTCTGAAAGACTCGGTCCCCTCCCACGACCCAAGCCAGCTGCTAATCTAGGGATGGAACGACATGTCCTAGAGGAACATGAAGGTACACAGGACTCTGAGGTATTCCGACAGACTCGCCTTAGAAGTCAGTACGGCGAGTCCAAGGAAAAATCACACGCCCTTGCTCAAACTTTCCTACTTCAAAGAGACGATGGAGATTTACGAAAGAAAATCTCAATGGTATATAACTCCACTCAAGACCCCATTATCCTACAGCTCATTGAGGAAGTAAACAAGTTGAAGGTCGAATGTCATGCCGAGATACCTGACTGGAACCAACCTAGTCCTAGCCCTCTCACAAGGAGGATCCTTGACACCCCCTTCAAGCAAAGACAAAACAAAAGCTTGGTTTATAACTCTATACTGGAAGGGAGGACCCAATCGAACACCTTAACCTCTTTGAGTCCACCATGGCATATCAGATGCACACCGACGAAGAGCGATGTCTTCTCTTCCCCTCCACCCTCTATGGCAG